TCTTNGGGAGTATATATAGGTATCTAAAGCAATTAATAAAATGTTCTTACTTACTTAACTTTCATCTCATGATATTTTATAAAAACAACCTTATATTTCATTCCGGTCACTAACGAAGAGAGGATTTTGCGAAAGAAATATCCAACAAACGCAGGGGCGCAGGGCGATGGTTCCGTTACGTAAATATTTTTAATTAATTCCGTGTCGTCCATACAAAAATCCCCGCTTGATGGAACCGAATTAGATATTGATGGCGACGTGTGCCGTTCGTTCTCGCGAAACGTAGCAAAAAAGATGTCCCCCGTCCTCCGCAGGTCGGTGGACAGCGCGAGGCCTGAGAGGGTGCTTAATTCAGGCCCCAGGACGAAATATTAAAATTCATTGTACACTCACACACGTGATATATGGACGGGAAGGGTGCCAGAATGCGGGGTAATTAAGAATCGCGGGGTTGAACGAACAACCACACTTTATTCAAAAAGTCGTAATATCGTATCCGACGCCGTCCTGAGTGCCCGACACGTACACGTAGGTATGCATGTATTCACAGGGAAGTGCGACACAGTGGTGGAACCTCAAGGGTGGTTCTTGATGTGCATCATATTAAGTACTAAACCGTGGTAAAATCTTAAGGACAATGGTTTTTGGGTAACAGTAGATTATGTAAAAAACAGTGGTAAAATATTGAAAGTCATTGTTTTTTAGTGACAAATCTTTGTACCAAACAATGGTGAGACCCTTAAGGGTAATTGCTAATGGATAATAAATCTAATATCGAAACAGTGAAAGAACCTTTTAAATTACTACTTATGGGTGTCATATGAAGTGCGAAACAGTGATGGAACCTTAAGGGTGGTTGTTGATGGGCTTCATATTAAGTACGAAACCGTGGTAAAATCTTAAGGACAATGGTTTTTGGGTAACAGTAGATTAAGTAAAAAAACAGTGGTAAAATATTGAAAGTCATTGTTTTTTGGTAACAAATCTTTGTACCAAACAATGACGAGACCCTTAAGGGTAATTACTGATGGATAATAAATCTAATATCGAAACAGTGAAGGAACCTTTTAAATTACTACTTATGGGTGTCATATGAAGTGCGAAACAGTGATGGAACCTTAAGGGTGGTTGTTGATGGGCTTCATATTAAGTACGAAACCGTGGTAAAATCTTAAGGACAATGGTTTTTGGGTAACAGTAGATTAAGTAAAAAAACAGTGGTAAAATATTGAAAGTCATTGTTTTTTGGTAACAAATCTTTGTACCAAACAATGACGAGACCCTTAAGGGTAATTACTGATGGATAATAAATCTAATATCGAAACAGTGAAGGAACCTTTTAAATTACTACTTATGGGTGTCATATGAAGTGCGAAACAGTGATGGAACCTTAAGGGTGGTTGTTGATGGGCTTCATATTAAGTACGAAACCGTGGTAAAATCTTAAGGACAATGGTTTTTGGGTAACAGTAGATTAAGTAAAAAAACAGTGGTAAAATATTGAAAGTCATTGTTTTTTGGTAACAAATCTTTGTACCAAACAATGACGAGACCCTTAAGGGTAATTACTGATGGATAATAAATCTAATATCGAAACAGTGAAGGAACCTTTTAAATTACTACTTATGGGTGTCATATGAAGTGCGAAACAGTGATGGAACCTTAAGGGTGGTTGTTGATGGGCTTCATATTAAGTACGAAACCGTGGTAAAATCTTAAGGACAATGGTTTTTGGGTAACAGTAGATTAAGTAAAAAAACAGTGGTAAAATATTGAAAGTCATTGTTTTTTGGTAACAAATCTTTGTACCAAACAATGACGAGACCCTTAAGGGTAATTACTGATGGATAATAAATCTAATATCGAAACAGTGAAGGAACCTTTTAAATTACTACTTATGGGTGTCATATGAAGTGCGAAACAGTGATGGAACCTTAAGGGTGGTTGTTGATGGGCTTCATATTAAGTACGAAACCGTGGTAAAATCTTAAGGACAATGGTTTTTGGGTAACAGTAGATTAAGTAAAAAAACAGTGGTAAAATATTGAAAGTCATTGTTTTTTGGTAACAAATCTTTGTACCAAACAATGACGAGACCCTTAAGGGTAATTACTGATGGATAATAAATCTAATATCGAAACAGTGAAGGAACCTTTTAAATTACTACTTATGGGTGTCATATGAAGTGCGAAACAGTGATGGAACCTTAAGGGTGGTTGTTGATGGGCTTCATATTAAGTACGAAACCGTGGTAAAATCTTAAGGACAATGGTTTTTGGGTAACAGTAGATTAAGTAAAAAAACAGTGGTAAAATATTGAAAGTCATTGTTTTTTGGTAACAAATCTTTGTACCAAACAATGACGAGACCCTTAAGGGTAATTACTGATGGATAATAAATCTAATATCGAAACAGTGAAGGAACCTTTTAAATTACTACTTATGGGTGTCATATGAAGTGCGAAACAGTGATGGAACCTTAAGGGTGGTTGTTGATGGGCTTCATATTAAGTACGAAACCGTGGTAAAATCTTAAGGACAATGGTTTTTGGGTAACAGTAGATTAAGTAAAAAAACAGTGGTAAAATATTGAAAGTCATTGTTTTTTGGTAACAAATCTTTGTACCAAACAATGACGAGACCCTTAAGGGTAATTACTGATGGATAATAAATCTAATATCGAAACAGTGAAGGAACCTTTTAAATTACTACTTATGGGTGTCATATGAAGTGCGAAACAGTGATGGAACCTTAAGGGTGGTTGTTGATGGGCTTCATATTAAGTACGAAACCGTGGTAAAATCTTAAGGACAATGGTTTTTGGGTAACAGTAGATTAAGTAAAAAAACAGTGGTAAAATATTGAAAGTCATTGTTTTTTGGTAACAAATCTTTGTACCAAACAATGACGAGACCCTTAAGGGTAATTACTGATGGATAATAAATCTAATATCGAAACAGTGAAGGAACCTTTTAAATTACTACTTATGGGTGTCATATGAAGTGCGAAACAGTGATGGAACCTTAAGGGTGGTTGTTGATGGGCTTCATATTAAGTACGAAACCGTGGTAAAATCTTAAGGACAATGGTTTTTGGGTAACAGTAGATTAAGTAAAAAAACAGTGGTAAAATATTGAAAGTCATTGTTTTTTGGTAACAAATCTTTGTACCAAACAATGACGAGACCCTTAAGGGTAATTACTGATGGATAATAAATCTAATATCGAAACAGTGAAGGAACCTTTTAAATTACTACTTATGGGTGTCATATGAAGTGCGAAACAGTGATGGAACCTTAAGGGTGGTTGTTGATGGGCTTCATATTAAGTACGAAACCGTGGTAAAATCTTAAGGACAATGGTTTTTGGGTAACAGTAGATTAAGTAAAAAAACAGTGGTAAAATATTGAAAGTCATTGTTTTTTGGTAACAAATCTTTGTACCAAACAATGACGAGACCCTTAAGGGTAATTACTGATGGATAATAAATCTAATATCGAAACAGTGAAGGAACCTTTTAAATTACTACTTATGGGTGTCATATGAAGTGCGAAACAGTGATGGAACCTTAAGGGTGGTTGTTGATGGGCTTCATATTAAGTACGAAACCGTGGTAAAATCTTAAGGACAATGGTTTTTGGGTAACAGTAGATTAAGTAAAAAAACAGTGGTAAAATATTGAAAGTCATTGTTTTTTGGTAACAAATCTTTGTACCAAACAATGACGAGACCCTTAAGGGTAATTACTGATGGATAATAAATCTAATATCGAAACAGTGAAGGAACCTTTTAAATTACTACTTATGGGTGTCATATGAAGTGCGAAACAGTGATGGAACCTTAAGGGTGGTTGTTGATGGGCTTCATATTAAGTACGAAACCGTGGTAAAATCTTAAGGACAATGGTTTTTGGGTAACAGTAGATTAAGTAAAAAAACAGTGGTAAAATATTGAAAGTCATTGTTTTTTGGTAACAAATCTTTGTACCAAACAATGACGAGACCCTTAAGGGTAATTACTGATGGATAATAAATCTAATATCGAAACAGTGAAGGAACCTTTTAAATTACTACTTATGGGTGTCATATGAAGTGCGAAACAGTGATGGAACCTTAAGGGTGGTTGTTGATGGGCTTCATATTAAGTACGAAACCGTGGTAAAATCTTAAGGACAATGGTTTTTGGGTAACAGTAGATTAAGTAAAAAAACAGTGGTAAAATATTGAAAGTCATTGTTTTTTGGTAACAAATCTTTGTACCAAACAATGACGAGACCCTTAAGGGTAATTACTGATGGATAATAAATCTAATATCGAAACAGTGAAGGAACCTTTTAAATTACTACTTATGGGTGTCATATGAAGTGCGAAACAGTGATGGAACCTTAAGGGTGGTTGTTGATGGGCTTCATATTAAGTACGAAACCGTGGTAAAATCTTAAGGACAATGGTTTTTGGGTAACAGTAGATTAAGTAAAAAAACAGTGGTAAAATATTGAAAGTCATTGTTTTTTGGTAACAAATCTTTGTACCAAACAATGACGAGACCCTTAAGGGTAATTACTGATGGATAATAAATCTAATATCGAAACAGTGAAGGAACCTTTTAAATTACTACTTATGGGTGTCATATGAAGTGCGAAACAGTGATGNAATATCCTACTGACTGCGCCAAATGTTATATTCCAAAATTGGAACAAAGACTTTTTAAAAAAAGTTTATTAATACAAAGTACAAACTATACTAGGTCTAGTCTTAAGCTAGAATAACTACTCTATTTTATGAACGGCTTTTATAAACTATATCCTGTAAATGCAATGTCAGCAAAAGATGTCTTTATGAATCACACTATATCTTGCCTTAACATATGTACTTAGGTACAACTATTAAAAATCCATCCCTTCCACTATGCCCATGAAAATGACTACAGCCCCCTTTTATGGTTTTAATTCCAATTGTGCCTATAACAATGATGCGTAGGTTTTTTTTGTTTTTGTTTTTAGGAGTCACAGTTTAGAGGAAAGACTTCTGTGTTGTGGCAACAATGTTGAAGTCCACCAAGTTAGATTTCATCCAGGAAGTCCTGGTGATAATCACGTTGTCGTTCTTACAAGCGATAATTTTTTACGGTACGAAACAATAGATTATTTCAAATAGCATCGCACCTAAGTTTACCATTATTTCTAACCGTTAAAGGTTTTACCAAATAATTAATGCCACTGCACTGATTCTCGACAAATATCAGTTGGGACGAAGTCCCACATCCGTCATGCCCTGCAGTAAAGTTTACATGCTAACTGATTTGGGTGAAACGGCGATCGATTTCGACTTTGGACCGCCGGAATTGGAGAAGCAAAATGCTATCAAATTTCGTGAAGTTGCTGATAAAGAAACACAATCTTTCGTCTCGTATAAAGGTACATACTTCCAATTAAATAGAATTGATTAAGAAGAATAATCACACAACAAAATTACTAAACCCTCTAGCACCTAACCAAGATGACACACTGGATTTCCAAATTCATTTTGTAGTGCAGTCATTTGGTTAGTAAGGTTACCTGAAAAGTTTTCCGCGAGTTTGGAAAATTGGTAATTTTATAGATTTTGATATGCTCTTTCGAAATTTCGACTTTGCTATCTCGTATTTTTACCACTTATAACCATATTGGAAAATTGGCCCCAAAAACAGTTTTTTGACAATATCTCCTTTCCAACTCATTTTACGATAAGAACAGTTTTATACAAAATGGAACCAAAGACAATTGCCTACAATTTATCTATCAGCTTTTTTTTGCGTAAAATCAATAGTTTTGGCATACGAGCGTCGCAAAGTGTAATTCAATTTTGGCCAAAAAACTCATTTCCACACCACCTTGAGGTAGAGTAAGCGGCACATTTTTTTAATCGTGATATCCCCAATAGTCCTAATCCACATGCAATTCAATATCCTGAAATTTAGCGCATTCTCCTTCGCTTCGCCGTTCTTGATGGACCAAGTGTTGCAAATTCCGGAATTTCATCCACATAATCTGCGATTAGTTTCATCGTAATCCTCTTCGTTCTCGATTTTATCAAATCTTTTCGCAATAGTAGTCTCTGTTTCTTCCTCTTCATCGCTATCTTGTGATGGAACTTGCGAGTTACCACAGGTACCTACCGTTACAATTCCTGCATATAACAGAGCAATTTAACCCAGCCTTCCTGCATCCACAAGCTTTCTTACATCCCTTTTTGGATTTAGAAGAAATAAAATTTAACAAGCTTTCCGGAGGTGGGGGCTCGACTGTGGTGACAACAATTTGCCCATTCTTGTTTTTTTTCCATTTCCATTAAACTGCATTTTGATCACTCCCATGCCACACTGCTGAAACCTGGTTTTATATGCTGATGTTGTGATGTATGCATATCTGTAGTTGTTTAAAAACATTTTTTTTACTTTTAGAATTACTGTAGGCAATTGTCTCTAGTTTCATTTTGTACATAACTATTTTTATTGTTGTTTAAGTCGGAAAGGAGATATTGTAAATAAACTGCTTTTAGGCGTCGTTTTTCTAATATGGCGGCGCGAGCGGCAAAAATACGAGGCGGCAAAGTTAAAATTCGGAAAGAGCACATCAAAATCTATAAATTTACCAATTTTCAAAACTCCCAGAAAACATTCCAGGAGGTAAAACTACCAAATGACTTTATTATTGGTACAATTCAATTAAAGAAATCATGGATTTGCAAAATAGCTGTTTAACTTAATCAAAACCATGAAAATGAAAAAGCACTGAAGTGCCTCTTCAGTAGATGCTATTTTTTAGGATGGAGCAGACATTCGCACAAATTCAAAGAAGAAAAGAAAATTTTCTCCACTGCAAACGATAGTGTTCAAGAGAAGAACTTGAAAAATGTCGCCAACAAATGGGGAAAGTTACAGTGGCCTATCTATCTCCTTTACGGAAATGCTACCGTTTGCACTATCACAATACCCCTAAACGAAAAGTAAGTTTGAGTATACATAGGGTGACTTTTTCCAATCAAAATGTTAACCCACAAAAAATTACAGATCAAAACCCAAAGTACGAGGGCCTTTGCCTATAATACCTGATGGTGAAATAACGTACAAAGATGATGCTTGTGCCTTACTATGTTTAAAAACAACTCCTTCGATACTTTGTCTTGCAACGTCAAATGGAAACGTTTACCATTTAGTTGTTCTACCAGAGACCCAACAACCTCAGGCAAGACAGAGAGTGCAAATAGAAAATAAAAAATACTATAAATATGAAACACTTTGACATTTAATAGGGGTTAATATCATATCATAACATTATTGTGAAAATCCATTTATATTTCTCCCACTATAAACTACCTAGTTTGTCGTTGTTGGTGTTGTCACCTCTTGTAGCTTAGTGGTGAAAGCATTGGTGTGTAAATCCAAAGGTCCCGGGTTCGATTCCCATCAAGGGCGTGACAACAGCAACAAATTTTCCCTCATTAATTTGAGGTGGTTTGTAGTGGGAGAAAATTAAAAAGAATTTTCGCATTAATATTTGATATTAACCCCTATTAACTGTCAATAGTGTTTCATATTTTTAGTATTAATAAAGTTACATTAGTTCGACACATCTGTGACCTAATAAGTACGGTTTGTCGTTGTTGCTGTTGTCACCTCTTGTAGCTTAGTGGTTAGAACATTGGTGCGTAAAGCCAAACGTCCCGGGTTCGATTCCCGGCAAGGACGTGACAACAGCAACAAATTTTCCCTCAGTAATTTGAGGTGGTTTGTAGTGGGAGAAAATTAAAAAGAATTTTCGCATTAATATTTGATATTAACCCCTATTAAATGTTAAAGTGTTTCATGTTTATAGTATTAATATAGTTACATTAGTAGGTAAACCTGTGACCTAATAAGTAGAATTTATCGGTGTTGCTGTTGTCAGCACTTGTAGTTTATTAGTCAGAGTATTGGTGCGTAAAGTCAAAGGTCTCGGGTTCGATTCCCGGCAAGGGTGTGACAACAGCAACAAAATTTTTCCCTCATTAACTTGAGGTAGTTTGTAGTGGGATCGAAAATTAAAATGAATCTTCACATTAATATTTGATATTAACCCCTATTAAATGTCAAAGTGTTTCATGTTTATACTATTAGTAGGTTGACGCCTGCTACGTTTTAAATTTTTTGAACAATCGCTTTAATTCTTTAATGCGAAATATTATTTAGATATCTAATTTTTAACTGTTTAACTGTTTCGAAACTTATGAGCCCATTGGGAGATTAAAAATTCGAAAACTGTTGAAATAAAGACTACACTAGGTGTTTATGTACAGAAGTATTTCTTAAAATTGATTTTCTTTGCTTGGCAAGACGATTTATCGAACAATTCGACTTATTAAAATTATCCTAGCATAGCTGATCAGAAGGTAAATAGTTTATAACTTTTTCTCTTGTATTGATGTACCTACATGTTTATTAGTAATAAAATTCCTACTATTTTTTATATACATAAACTATCGTCAAATGCTCCCTTTTCGTTAATAATCCATATTCATATACTGCTGTGCGGTTTGTTTAGTAATCAAACTGAAATTACTTTCTGTTTTATGACTATGTTCATCACACGTAATTTTGCACATCCAATCAATAGACGTATGAATGTGATAACATGTTCATTATTTTGTGTTACTTGTGATGGGTGTATATGTGTATAAACGAATAGTACGTACGTATTATTTAGAATGCATATTCATATATTAAACAAGGTAATTTTAGCGGCTGATTAAACACACAAGAACAAAATATTGGTTTTTGTTATTTTTGTATCGGATTTGTTTGCTATATCGCGGATGTTTGGCCAGTTTTTAACAACAGGGTGTAGTAGTACTAATCTATAAAAAGAGATTACAAGATTCATCATCATATGAAGTCGTCAGTCATGAGACTGATTGGACAAAGAAAAGAACTTTTGGGTGTTTCATTCCCACCAGCCAGTAATGCTGGTGGGCGGGCAGTCCCTCCGGACTATGCCGGAAGGTAGGGCGGAAGGCCCTCTTCAGCCTGCTTTCAGGAATCGTGGGAATGGGTGGGTGGTGGTTCGGGTGAGAAAGATGAGACGGACGAAAT